CAAATTCACTCCTTCGACTTTAGCATTGTAGAGAGTCAATAGTTTCGTCCACAAGAGTAATCAAGTGATGAACAAATCGTCTGACTGAACATGCTTTCTAGAGTTGTTGCCAATTTTTGCAAAGGGCGCTTTACTTTTTGGTTTATAAGAATTCTTGGATGTTTATTTCTTGAGTATATATAATGAGCAATTTGTATCTACGAAAAATCTATATGATGCTGGATCACACACACAAAGGAATTAAAATATAAATTCCGTGCTATGTCCATACCATTCATTACCAATTGGTGTAGCAATATACCACAAAACACAAGCTACAAATATGGATATTATTATAGCTATTCTGAACTAGGTGTTGAATAATGAGATGATGTATCAAGTTTATTGACATCTGTCAATGACGATGAAGAAATTGTTACCTTATGCAAAGTCCAGCCACTTAAAAATATCCTTTTATGCTCTTAAATCACACTTATTAATATCAACAAAAATAATGGCGCAACAATTCTAAAGAAAAAATAATAATACCAATTAGAATATTTTGATGTTCTAAATAATGATACTAATAAACAATAACTAATATGGTCGCGATCGTACACCATCAGATCGTTTAGCAATGGATCCGTTTTTTGAAAAAGAGAAAAAAATGTTAGTATTTAATAATTAATTCTTTTAATAATTATATTATTAATAGTGGAATATTAACAGTAAAATACATTGATGTTGAACTTCTATCCAATGACTAATTTGATGTTCGTGTAATGATTATTTTCTGATTCCACGCCACCAGTTGTTTAATTATAGATCCATTTTTTTTTTGATGTTGCATACATACCTTTTAATAAAGGACCTTCTTCAGGCGCATCTCAATCCAATAACAATAATAACAACAATGATTATCAAATTTTAAGGCCCATCCCAACATTTTAAGGAGATGGCAGTAATATTTCATGTTAAAAAAGAAAACGCTTCTCCAAGAGTATTTTAAAGTAAGCTGATTTTGATTTAAAAAATTGAATAATCTGTTTAAATCATTCGATAATTTGTCTGAAATTATTATTTTTTTATTTATTGTGTTCTTAAAGGGTATGATAGAATAACTAATGTAGATCATCTGAATTCAAATGAAAAATTTAAAACTTCTCGACACATGTAAAGAATTACGCTTTGATGAATTAATAGATAATTTACAGTCAATAAAAAATTAATGGATTCTACAAAACTTGATGAAATTTCATAAAGTTCAGTTTATTCCGGGGTTGAGACCAAGTTTTGGTAATAAAATACTAAATATGGTTAAAATGTTACACCAATTAATACATTACTCCAAGGTTATTTTTTACTAAACAATTGAAAAGACGATGCTTATTTCCATATTGGAAAGGGGATTGCTTAGAATTAGATGAGATTGATATTTGGAATCATGTTGTGTTATTCGATGGGGAGGGAACAGGACGAAATGAAATCATTGGAAATAGTATTTCAGTGGAATAAGAATGATTTCAAAGAGTTGAAAAATATATTAAAAGGTTTTATTATCCCATTAATTGGATTCAATAGCATTTGGTTTGTGGACAAATATTATGAAACCCGAGTATGTTGTGCAGGTCGTTATGGAAAACAATTATCATTTAATACACAAAAGTGATTGTGATAACAAAATTTCTCTCGCATTTATCATTTATTCAATTATTTTGATGAATGTATATATTATATATATATATATATCCTAGAAAATTAATATAATTGATGTTGTTTAGTTATTATCATCAAGTGAAAAAAGAAAAAAAAATGCCTCTTTTTTTTTAATAATCAATAATTAAAATTCGGATATGAATGTATTATATTATATATATTCCTTTAATGTTTCCTCGAAAGAAAATCAATTTTGACGAAAGTCGTTTTGACAAATTGTGGCCAACACAGAAAAAAATTGTTCACTACGTTTCAAAAGTTCATGAACAAACCTTTGCAATCGGCAATTAACAACAATTATCAAATATCAAATAGCATAATGCAAATTGCATAGTTTTATAAAATGATTTGTGGAAAATTTTCCCTTTTTTTAAAAAACAGAAGATCAATGAGTTTTGAAGATTTCCAAAAATATATGCAAATACTAATAAATAATTTTCAAGATTTCCAAATATTTATATTCAAAAAAAATATCTATTCCGAAATTGGAATTTTTTATCATACCTCCCTTTATTGACAACTTATGTTTAAATGTACATGTATATGTATATGTATATGTATACTTATTATAATAACAGTAAAATTGTGATAAATAATATTTTAAAAGAATCTCCTTGATTTTTATTTTTTGAGGGTTCCAATAACCTAATAATTAAAGAAATATAAATAAATTAATATTGAAAACTATTGACAGGAAAAAAAAACTAAAAATTTTCATGATTCTTAACTGTATAGGGCGCATATTTTTCAATGACCTATATAAATAATTAAAAAGAAAGAAAAACAAGTTAATAATAATAATAATAATAATCTTGAACAATCATTTTTTTTTAAAGCAATCTTTTGCAAATATATTATAATCATTATATGTAAACTTACGTTCTTTTCATGAAGCATATTGAACTATTATTTTATTTTTAGCAGCAGAAATAAAAATTTTTTATTAGATTTAGTATAGTTGAAATGAAACAAATATCCAAAAAAATAAATAAATAAAATCAAACCTCTTCACTGTTATTGTTTATAATATAATATAAATATATAATTAATAAAATGTTTTACAACAAAAAATAAAATGAATTAACCAATTAATCAGTTATTATTATTATTACAAACCTTGCATCTTTTCCTCTAAATTGTAATATACTTTTCTTGCCTCCGGGATGATCTATATATATTTAAACAAATAGGTAAATTTCTCTATATTGAAATAGTGGCGATACATATATACATATATATGTGTGTGTAACTTACCAGGAAGGAATTTAGTAACATTTAAAACTTGACCATTTACTACAACCTAATTGATTTATTTAGAATATTTAATATTTATTTATTTAATTCTAATAATGAAATTAATTTGATTTTTTTGGTTCATACCCAACAGTCGTCTTCAGTATTGTGTTTCGCAACCTCGCTTAATGTATACGCTTTCAATTCTTTTGGAGCTTCTGGTTGTTTTGGTTCTGCAGCTGGGGCAGCAGCAGGTGACGATTGAGCAGGTGTTGTAGTACTAGGGGTTTCTTGCTGAGCCCAAGAAATTTGTAAATTTATTAATTGTCTTGCGGGATCTACGGTAAGACTTGTCTGATATGGTGCCAATTGACCCGCAAGTTGTCCAAGACGACGATTGGCAGTTTGGGAAGATAAATTTTGGAAGAGATAACTTGAAGCTGAATCACCAGCAACACGACCAAAAACTACGCAATCCAAGAGTGAGGAACCACCTAATCTGTTAGCACCATGTATACCACCGGCCAATTCACCAGAAACATAAAGACCCGGAATGGTTTTTCCTTGCACATCTTTAACTTGAGAAGCACCATCAATTTCAACACCACCCTAAAATTACATACATAACGATTTTACTGTTATAATTATTATCTCAATTAATGGCAAAAAAAAAAAAGTTGAAAAAATTGAAACACTCGTTACCATAGTATAATGTAATACAGGACTCATTATTGATACATGGAATGAATCATTTGTAGTAAATGGAACATTATGAAAGAATTTTTTGCCATAAGGATCCTTCTTATTTCCAGAAGCAATACTGTTATAATCATCAAAGGTGGCTTTTAATTGTGATACTGTGATATGCATTTCTTTTGCCAAATCCTCAGCAGTATTAAATTTTTTCATTAAACCACGACCACTATAATGTTTACAATGCCATTCTATTTCTTTTGAGGCTTTGCTGTTGAGCACGAGACGAACTGGACCCTTAGTTTTCCAAATTTCACCAGTAACATAATCACGATGACCCAACTCGTCACAAAATCGTTTTCCATCGGCATTCAACAACAAACCACCGACACCACGAAGTGCTTCGGCCGCCAAAAATTTAATTTTTGCATCTGGTTCATTTGGATCTACTAGACCAGTAGGATGTACTTGAACCTTTTCAAGATCGATTCCTTTTCCACCGATTGCAAGAACCATTTTGAGACCATCACCTGTACAATGATCACCATTTGTGGTAGGTAAATTGTATATGTCTGGACGATATTTCTTGAGTAAAGAATCATCACTAAAATCAGCAGCATAGCCACCGGTTGCCAAAACTACAGGACCATGTTCCTTGAAGGTTTTGCCATCCTTTTCATATTCGACACCAATGACACTATCACCTTCTTTGATTAATTTTGTTGCGCGGGCCTTCATGATAATTTTGCAACGATTAGGTTGTTCCTTGGCAATTTGTTCAATTCCTTGCATTAATGCATATGTTATAGTCATACCAGGGAACATTTCTTTACCACGATGTGTACGTGGTTCAGAATGCCCACCCAACCTTGATACAAGGGAAAGATCTAATTTGAACTTATTTTGAAGCCATTCAACAGCAGGAGCAGAGTTTCCGGTAAGAACATTAATTAGTTCAGGTCTTGCTAAATTACGTGCAGAGCGAGTTGTGTCTGCAGCAAAAATCTCGGCTGAATCCTTAATACCTTTTGCTATTTATTTATTTAAAAAAATAACAATAATAAATTAATTTGCATGAAGAATAAAATTTTTTTTTAAAAAAAAAAAAACATGTATACGTACATATCTGAGTTCTAGTTAAAGCACCATTAATACCAGAAGTGGCTTTAGTAGAGTTACCACCGAAAAAGGCATTTTTGTCAAGAATAAGAACGTTACCGCCATGCTCTATAACAGTATGAGCAGCAGATAAACCCGAAAGACCACCACCCACAACAATTACTTGAGTCATTATGAATTTTTAATGGTTTTATAAAAAATAAGGCAAGAATTTGTGGTGTTTTTTTTTTGCTTTAGATAATTTTTATCTAATTTGTTAATTTGATCAGGTAAACTGGTCGTTAAAATTATTGAAAAAAGGTGTTGAAGGGTTTTATAAAAAAAAAAAATTTTTTTTTTAGTAAATCATATTACTAAAGGTGCATACGTCCGTGACACAACAGTGTTTACAATGGTTTTGATTCGCACTAAAAACATCATCAGTTCAACTGTAAAGCAGATCGTGCAACATTTAGATAATCGGTCAAAATTGTATTATTTATTATTATTATTGTATGATACGATGGATTATTTTTTTGACAACATCCTTTGTAATTTTTAAATTTGATTACTCTGGTCAAAATTGGCAATTATAAATAAATTATGTGATATCCTGGATACCACCACACATATGACATGCGCTGAAAATATTTGTCGTCAGAGTCAAAGCTGCCATGATTTAAATAGCACTATTAGAAATGTCATTGGGTTTATGAGTTCCAATCGAAGTATTAAATAAAATAAATATTGAGCAGAAAAAGGCTTCCAGCTGAATATTTTGTTAGTGCATTTGGTAAAGTAAAGATAAGGAATAAATATTGGGGATTAAAAATTAATTAATGTGAAGGAATCAGCCGAGGTTCTAGATCCCGGGATTAATTTCTTATCAATTGGCGTCACAAGCAATGAAACGATCGCATGACAGCTATTAACTTATCCCATGCTAATATATTTTGAAAACCCTTGTCCCAAAGGTCATGTGATGATTATTCCATGAAAAAATCTGCTAACTGAAATACAATGCCTCGTCTTGTGTAAGGTATTATTAGCAAGGCTAACAAATTTTTATCAGGCCTAAATTTTTTATAAATAGAATATTATCCTCTAACCTAGGAACTTTTAAGTTTACAAAGGGTTGTAACCCTTATAACTATGGTAAGTGATTGCGACCAGTTTTGTAATTTCCTTAATTGTGATTTCAGCTCTCTTATCGATTGTGGATTTTTCTTTTTTGAGGCGTCTGCTAGTACTTATTGTTCCACCATCCATCGCTAAGAGCCGAGCCATTAAAAAAACCTTGTTCTGATTGGAAGGAACTTGAAAAGCCTCATGCAGATCAGAAACCACATTTACAACCCTTTTTTCTAAAAAATAGATAACCATTATAAAATTTATAAAATTACCACCTTGTAGGATTTTTCAGTTATTTCAGTAATAAGCTCATTAAAAACGATAATTAATCTGGCAAAAGTTATAATGGCGTTATCTCACTGTATCATAATCATGACGGTGTGTGGATGAATTTGAAGATTGAAATACCTTTATACGTTGCGTAAGAAAGTTTTTGGGAATTTCACTTGTTGCTTTGCTTATTTTTTTAAAAAAGGGGCGCAATCTATAGTGATAAGAAAAATAAAAAGAACCATTTCTACACTCATTTACTGCCCTCCCCCCCAAAAAACCCATTAAATCATGCTATGTATTATATATTCCACTAAATAATGGCATTAATGAAATTATAACTAGACGATTAAATAAATAGTAATTATTATTAATATTACTAATAGTAATATTATAATATTAATATTGTTATTGTTATTGTTATCCAGAACTATAAACTTTTAAAATATATTCTTTGTGCCAAGTGCTATTCCAGCAAAAGAATGAATTGCATCTATGTTGGTTCGGAAACCTTTTCAATTCCATACTTAACTTTAAGAGCCACAATAAGTTACGAGAATAAATAATAACCTTTTCCAGTTCCCGCTGACCCTGTAAAAAACACAGGGCATAAGCCAATGCTCTTATTCCTTCAGTATTTCCTAAAATCGAGATCAGATGTTCGTCTGGAATGATGTTGTAAAGAATTTTGTAATGAAGGTTCCACAATCTACAATTAAAGATTTAGTATTATAATAATGATGATGATAATAATGATAATAAGAATATTACAGCTTGAAATTAGGAAAATTTTTGGACGCAATTGTAAGTCTACATTATATTACAGAGAGCATGCATATTAATATAGATTTACGTAAGTTAATACTCGGAAATTGATGATGTGTTAAATACAAATACAAATAAAAATAAAATACAATTCCAAACCTTTGTCAAGTAAACATACAAATACACGTCATACTCGACACGTTTCGTCTCTTGAAATCGAAAACATTTTTTTTTTGTGTTGTGACTTGAAGTTTATTGCTAATAGGTCTTAGTTATTAGTTGTCTTTATAGATAAGAGAGACTCGACAATCAATTTCATTTTACTTTTTTCGTCAAATTGGAATGGCGTCAGACGGTTTTATTTATTAATATTAATTATATCGTGTCAGGACCCGGACAATAATGTTTAAGGTCACTCACTCATCAGTCATCCTTAAATGGTTAAATCTCAACTCTTCGATTTTATATGATCTTTCCCATTTAAGGTAATAAAAAATTGGGTATGATTATCCGGTGTTCGTACGGGTCATTGTTATTATGTTCGTAGTCCGCAAACATGATTTTTAAGTTTATATTATCATTATATGATATGTATATATATATATAACATATTGGAGAAGCATTAAAATTGATTGGTGTGGCTTTTATCAACAAGATAACACATCAAACAATGCAAAATCCTTTTTTTTAAAAAGAAACTCCGTCCTAAAAATAAAGTGGCACAATAAGAAAGTTTCAATTATCAAACAATCCCTTTTTATTGCGTCACACAAAATAATAATTTTTCCATTTAAACCCTATTTCAATTCATGACCCTGAAATTGGATGTCATACACCGCAGAATTAAAAAAGTAAATAAACAAATTTAAATTAAATTAAATTAAATTAAATTAAATTAAAATGAAACGAAATGATGAATACGAGAGAGAGAATATCATCAATTGATGATGATGAGTCAAAATTTGTCAAATAGTAAATAATGATAGGACATAATTGATTGTCTGAATTGATTGTTCACTAAAAAATTTCATTTCCTCTGAATTGGATGTCTCCAAACATATAACCCTAATTCACATGCAATATTAATATATTAATTACCATTTGATGATATCAATGATGATTATTGTCAACTTGAATTGCAATTATTATGTATTATTATGATACTATACATATTTTATTTGGATCTGACAAATGATCCTAGATCTTAATATTATTTATTATTATTAATAAAGAAATTTTTTATCGTATCAAATTTCAAAAATCTTTTTTTTTTTTTGGGTACATACCAAAAAAAAAACCAACCCTGATTGGAAAAGTAACATTGCTATTTAATTAGGGATAAAAACTAGATTTTTTTTTTCCTCCTCATTTTCTTTTCACTCAAAATTTTTTTCTTTTTTTTTTTTGGTAACGAATCCTCCTTTACGTTTTATTTATTTTTTACGCTTATAGTGTAAGTATTATTATTCTTTTTATTTACATATAATATATACAAGTATATATATATATATTGTTATTTCCATCCATCTTATCTTTTAAAAAATATTAATTATAATATCATCCATCACCATCAATATAATTTTTAAATATCTATATCTGTAAATCTTTTTTATCTTTAAAGTGAAAAAAATCTTTTTTTATAATTTAGCCGCAGTAAAGAATTTTTTCTAATTTATTTTTTAGACCTTTAGTATTCCAAAAGACATAAAGTATTTTATCTTTTAAAAGAGTTTCTTTATAGTAACATACTTGTTGAACAATATATTACTATTACTATTATCAATGTTATTGTTTTTATAATATGAATGTTTAACACTAACAACTCCTTTTCTTTCTTTACAGTAAAACGAAATACAAAAAATAAAAAATATATAAAATTAAAAATGGGTAAAGAAAAAACACATATTAATGTCGTCGTTATTGGGCACGTGGATTCAGGAAAGTCAACAACCACTGGTCATCTTATTTACAAATGTGGTGTAAGTATTTATCTTCACTTTTTCATACATGTACACATTTTTATTGCGAACAATGGATTAACAAATGAACAAACAAACAATAAATGATTAATCACTTTTTTTTATTTTTTTTTTTTGTAAATCAAATAATAGGGTATTGATAAACGTACGATAGAAAAATTTGAGTAAGTAATTTATATTGATAAATAACAGTGTTATTTTTGTTATTATTACTACCATCACTTCTCTTATAATTTCATTGTTATGATTACATTAATAATAATAATATTATTAATTGATTAAAAAAAATAAAATAGAAAAGAAGCAGCTGAACTTGGAAAAGGTTCATTCAAATATGCCTGGGTATTGGACAAATTAAAAGCTGAACGTGAACGTGGTATTACTATTGATATTGCTCTTTGGAAATTTGAAACCCCAAAATACTATGTTACTGTCATTGACGCCCCAGGACATCGTGATTTCATCAAAAACATGATAACTGGTACATCTCAGGTAAAAAATCATTCAAATTAAATTCGTATCAATCAATATAAAACATACAAACACATGTATATAAAACATAATACATCGACATCAATATTAATTTAACACACACATACTACACCTTTATCCCACTTTTACACACATCCACCTACCTCTCTACCTTTCTCTACATTTACCACTACCATCTTCACATTCACTTATAATACATCTATGATGACAATAGGCTGATTGTGCTATTTTGATCATTGCTGCCGGTACTGGTGAATTTGAAGCCGGTATTTCAAAAGATGGACAAACCCGTGAACATGCTCTTTTGGCTTACACTCTTGGTGTTAAACAACTCATCGTCGCTGTAAACAAAATGGACACAACCAACTGGTCCGAGGAGAGATTCAACGAAATTGTTAAAGAAGTTTCCGGTTTCATCAAACGTGTAGGTTATAACCCCAAGACTGTTGCTTTCGTTCCTATATCCGGATGGCACGGTGACAATATGTTGGAAGAGTCTCCAAATATGGGATGGTTCAAAGGATGGCAAAAAGATATCAAGGGCGGAAGCGCTAAAGGAAAAACACTTTTGGAAGCTATTGATTCCATCGAACCTCCATCAAGACCTACCGATAAACCTCTCCGTCTTCCACTTCAAGACGTCTACAAAATTGGTGGTATTGGTACCGTTCCAGTAGGTCGTGTCGAAACTGGTATCATCAAAGCCGGTATGGTCGTAACTTTTGCCCCAGTAGGTTTAACCACTGAAGTTAAGTCAGTTGAAATGCATCACGAACAATTAGTCGAAGGTGTTCCCGGTGACAATGTTGGTTTCAATGTCAAGAACGTGTCAGTCAAAGAAATTCGTAGAGGTTATGTCTGTTCCGACTCTAAAAACGATCCCGCAAAAGAAGCCGGTTCATTCCAAGCTCAAGTCATTGTTTTAAATCATCCTGGACAAATTGGTGCCGGTTATGCTCCAGTATTGGATTGTCATACTGCTCATATTGCTTGTAAATTCGCCGAATTACAAGAAAAAATTGATCGTCGTTCCGGAAAAAAACTCGAAGATAATCCAAAATTCGTTAAATCTGGTGACGCTGCTATCGTTAAAATGATTCCTTCTAAACCAATGTGTGTCGAAGCTTTTGTTGATTATCCACCTCTAGGACGTTTTGCCGTAAGAGATATGAGACAGACGGTTGCTGTCGGTGTCATTAAGGTAAAAAAATTTTTTTTTTAAATTAATAATAATAATGATGACGATGATGATAATCACAATGTAAGGAAATCCTTATTAATATTTCTTATTCTGTTAAAATAGAGTGTTGAAAAAGTTGAAAAATCCGGCAAGACAACTAAAGCAGCAGTTAAAGCTAGCAAAAAATAGATAAATTAATAAAACAACCAACAAATTTCATCAACCAAAATCAAAAATCAAAAAAAGAAAAGAATACACACACATATATATATAATGAATTTATTTTTTTTTTACTACTCATTAATCATTTTTTTTAAAAAAAATAAATTTGTGCTTTTTTTTAATATGTTTATATAATAATTTATATTTATTATTATATTAATAAAAAAAATTTTTATATTTTCCTTTAAAAAAAAAAAATTTTTATATATATAATATATATATATATATATTGCACATTTATTATTCATTTTTTTAAAAATGTTATAAATGTATAAATATATTATACGACAAAAAATTTTTTCGTTTGCTTTTGATCTTGGTTGATTGATGAATGAATGAATGTGAACGAAGTAATATATATATACTCCTTTATATTATTGACTATGATCGACCTATCTAAAGCCTAAATCTACTACTTGATGTAGATCAAATAAAATTATACTCTTTTGGGTATTATTGACTATGATCCATTCCAAAGCCTACTTTTTAAACCTCAAATAAAATAAATCATTGATTGTAATTTGTTTTGTTTTCATCTTTTCATATATTTTTTTTTTTATTTAATTGAAACTTTTATATATATATATATATAGGTGTGTGTGTATATATATATATATATATATATATAACTACAAAAAAAAAATACATGCAATACCTAAAAATTGTTGACAAAATAATCAGCCCAACCATGTATACATATAGAACAAAAACAACGAATAGAGAAAATACCATCATATAAACTCTTATCTATCTGTATACAATACAAATACATACAATGTATTTGTATATAGATAAAGAGTTAAAAAAATAGAAAAAAAAAATGATACATAGAAACAGAAGAAATAAAAAATAAAAGATTTTTTGAACAATATAATATTTACAAAAAATTTTGATTTATAAAAAAACCAAAAAAAAAAAAACCAAAATATGCAAAGAAAAAAATCAAAAAAACTATTGATAATAATATTTGACATGACCAAACCAACTACTAATCACCTAAAATCATCCAAAGTTATACAACAAACTAAATTCTTTCTTTGTGACCGCTTTCAATGTATATGCATTAGATTTTCTCCATTCATCCTTTTTTTTCAATTCTTAACCAAATAATAAATGATACTTGTGAAAATATGCAGATATAAATGTTCGTGAGTAGTTGTGTAGTGTAATAATAGATGAATACAATGAATATATATATATAATATTTATATTTGTATTTTTACATATAAAAGGTATGCTGCTTTAAAACTCTTTCTATATTTATATATATGTATATATAATATATATATATACACACACAAAAATAAGAAACCCTCAAAATATGTAACAAAAAAAATATAAAAATGTGTGATAGATATGATGAATAATATATTGTGTGTGTATATAAAAAATGTGTGAATATGAAATTTTCCAATATGTTTTTAAAAAAAAAATAATAAAAGAATTTGTTTTTCTTTGTTAATTTTTTTAATCAACTATTTAACAAGGAAATGTAAAAAGGAAAAAAAAAATAATTTACAAGAAATATATAAAAATGAAAAAAAGGAATATATACATGTATATATATATGCGTGTGCGTGTGTGTGCGTGCGTGTATATGTGTTGAACGTGCGTGTGTGTGTGTGTATATATAACAAGAAAAAAAACTTTTTAATCTTAATTTTTTCCCATAACAAATTCAGTAAATCTACCAAACATACTTTTGGAAGATTCTTTATCACTACCACTAATTTTTAATGCCCAGAAATTCTTTTGATTATTGTTCTTTTTACTTGAAATGAATAAGGGTTTGATTGTACCAGAATTCCCACTAGTACCAACATTCATATTGTGAGCATTATCGATGGAACTAAGATCACTGGTACTGTGGCTACCAAAACCCATAATGCCAAAACCGCCAAAACCACCAGCAGCGCCACTTTCAGACATTGATCTTTTCATAATACGATTTAGTGAATCGGATGAAGCAGAAGCAGCCGGGTTTTGACTGATAGTAAGATGATTATCATCTTTTGACCATTGTTTTTTAGTTTTGAAATCAAAAAGAGGATCGGTCGAACGACGTTTCTTTTTCTCAGGAATAACAATAGGAGGTGGTGGCAGGGCTGTTGTGGTGTAAGATGAAGAGGAATCTTCCGTTAATAATTCCATACTCGTACTACTGCTATTATTTTCACTTACTACAGCCAAGTTGTTAATGCCATTACTATTACTGCTACTGCTGCTACCAACTATTATAATACCACTACCAACACCCGAGGAAAATGCTGTAAGTTCAGGTGATGTGGCCATCAACAAAGAGTTGATAGATGAAGAATTTGATTGTGGAGTGGTTGATGATGAAAATGAAAATCTGGTTGACCTTCTATCTGGCGATCTACTACTACCACCACCATTATTATTATTAACCTCATTATTAATAACTACATGGCCGTTATTATTATGATTTATCATGGTCAAGGAATTACTGTTTGAAACCGACGATATTGTTGTTGATGAAGTAGTAGTAGTAGCGGTATTGGCAAAATGACGAGTCAAATTTAAACTTTTACGAAACAATTCTTTTGTTGGTGATTTGTGTTTTTTTATACCGGTGTCAGGTGAAGTTGTTGATTCATCATCGTAAGATGATGACAGATAAATAGACGATGATGGTGGTTTATCAGATAAATCAATTATCATTATTTCATCAACTTTTTTACTGGTAAATTTGTTGTTGAGTATTTCTTCCAGTGATTTTGAATGAAGTTGTGGCAATTCCAATGATCTTGAGTGTTGACGCTCCGTCACAATTTGTGGTATTTGCGGTGATAATTCTAACACATTGTTATTATTAGGACTGTTGTTACTAGAGCTGCTAGGATTATTTTTAGGACTTTTAGATTTATTTGTACCTATAATCGTTGATTTTATTTTTGAAGATTTTGAAGGTTTTGATTTTTGCGATTTGTTATTGCCAATATTTGATGCTGACAACGACGTCGATGACGTCGACGATGATGTATTCATTTCAGATTTCTCAAGTTCAGCAGGTAAACTTGGTCTACGTTTTGACAAATAATGAATAAATGCAGTAAAATCTTTAGATGAAGAGGCATTGCCATTACTATTATTATTAGAAGCGTTATTGTTTGTAGCAGTAGAAGTGGCGGAATCAATAACAATAGTATTGTTAGTATTGTTATTTACAACAACAGCAGTCGTATGATTGCTACTACTACTACTCAATGTTGGCATTTTTATTTTTTTAAATTTTGAAGCCTTGTCTTTTGATCTTTTTGATTTAACATTGTTATTGTTATTATTATTGTTACTAGTACTATTACTATAACCGCCACTACTAGTGCTATTATTATTATTTGTGGTGGCATTCATTGAATTGAATATTGTAGACATATTCACTAAGTTACCATTTCCATTATTATTATTTACATCACCACCATTATTATTCATCTTTGATTGTCTTTCAACAGCTTGTAAAGCACCATAAGTTTTTAATAATTCAACAACATCATTATGATTTTTTGCCATAGCAACAGATAGAGGAGTCGAACCATATTTATCTGCCACATCAACCATAGCACCATTTTTTAATAATAGTTCAACCGTCTGCGTGCAACCATTTGCAGCGGCAAAATGTAATGCGGTTGAACCAGTTGTCCCTACTGAATGACCCGACGACGATTTGGTTTTATCTGCACCACTTAATTTACGTGGATGTCTAATTGTGACATTTTTTAAAATGAAATTATCGTTATTTATTTTAATTTATCATTAAAAAAAAACTTTTGATTGATTGATTAATTAATAAAGTGTTTTCGTCATAATCATACCTTGGAGAATTGACGTTTGCACCACGTTCAATCAAATACTGCACTACGTTAGCATTGCCGTTTATACAAGCGGCGTGAATAGGTAGTACGCCATTTAATGCAGAATCGATAGATTGACCATGATCTAAAGCGAATTTTACTAAGCCTAGATTAAGGAGAAAAAAAAAATATATATATAGATATAATCAAAAATTAACAAGTCAAACCAAAAATATACACAACAATAAATAATAAAAAGACGCTTACCAAGATTACCAGCAGCAGCACCAGAATGTAAACCTAAATTTTTGGCATCAGTTGAAACTTGATTATTTTTTTGGTGAGTTGACGATGAATTTGTTGTCGTTGAATGATATGTTGTCGTTGATTTAGTAGTATTCGTGATAATAGTAGTTGAACTCATTCTTTGGATGTGGTCGTGATCGTGACTTTATTTATTTTTTTTAAAAAAAAAAATAATAATAAAATAAATCTCGTAAACCAAACAACTAAAAAAAAACAAAAAAAAAGAATAAATAAGTATATATATATATTGTTAAAATGATGATAATCTTGTATAAATATATATATGTAAAAGATATATATAATGGAATAAATTAATAGTATATGTATAACAATGTATGTGTAAAAAAAAAAAATAATTGAAACAAGGGACTGAAATTTTTTTTGTAAGCTTAATTGTAAAAAGGAAGGAAGAGAAAAAAGAAGTAAATTATAATGGTTATAATTATAATTATAATGTATTATGACAATGATATAAATGATGATAATATAAATATGTTAAATATGTGCATTTGAATAAGAAAAAAACTAGCGATAAAAATAAAATAAAATAAAATAAAAATAAAATAAAAAAATCTTGGCCAATCAATAAATCAAACTAATCATAATCAATCCATCAAAATCATAAATCAACTAACATAAAAATCTAATCTCTATTATTATTATTATTATTATTATTATAAAAAGTAGACTTTTTTAACATTCAATTTAGAACATTCATTGTTTATTTAATTTCTACCTACCTACAATAAAAAAAATAAAAATAAAAATGGTTGTGTAACATATAATATAAATAAATTAAACTTACCACCACTCACTATTAATAAATATAAATAAAAATAAAAATTTCTTGTTTCTTTGATTCTTCTTTTTGATCTTTTCCTTTGCAAATGATAAAACACAATATTGTTGGTTTTTTTTTTTTTTTTTTGTAAGTTTTTTTAATAAAAAAAAAGTACGATTGTATAATTTTTTTATTTTAGAGAAAATGAAGAAAGTCTTAAAGCTTAATTGTATTATTTATATGAAAACAAATAATTGTCAGAATTTTGAAGTTTCTTAGTGAGAGAATAATATGAATAAAATGAATTAATTGGAAAAATTGAAACTTAAAATAGTTTGTTTGAGAGCAGTTTGAGAAAATAAAATAAAACAATACGTATAAAAATCTGAAAACGTTAAAAATTTAAAAATATGGTTTCAAAAAATAATACCTTTTTGTCGGAATAAAAAAATAATAAAAAAAAACAATATTTAATTATTTTTAAAGCGACGCAAAGTGAAAAATCAATTTAAAATGGTCAATTGCGAGTTTATATAGTTTTCGATTTTTTATATGATATGAAATTCGTGTAAGTGATTTATTTATAGAGTAATATAAATAATATACATGTACTGTAATCAATAAATAATAATAATTTTTATGTAATAAATATAAAGTCATGCAAATTATAATAAACCTTTTGTATCGAAAGAAATAAATAAAAAAATGGATGTTTTTTTATTTAATATTTTCAATAATAAATTACATGATGATGAATGCCTAACTGCAAAAATTATAACCTCATAGCGATATCATGTGACAATTAGAAGCTAACTCCCAATTAATTTCCATATTAAGAAATTAATTAGATTAAATATTATTGTTGAAAAACTTCATAGTTAATAATCATGATTTGACAATGCTTATAATGTCACCACACCACACTAAACTAAAGCTGTTATTTTAAATTGTTCATTACGCATATTTTTTCTCTGTTATTGCTGGCTGGCCAATATCAATATTAATTAATTATTTTGATGGGATAAATTTTAGCCTTCAAGTTTTAAAAACAAAACATTCGGGATTTTATGATTAATTTATGTCATCCATCATCATCATCAAACATTTTAATATAGTAAAATTACGTACGTAACCCTATCAAGTTACTGCCATTTTTTACTCGAGAAAATCGGTACTAAATTGACAATCTGCCAGCCCTGATTAACGCCACACATGCAAAATTTCAAGGGCTAAACGAGAACTCCGGAAAATTCTAAAAATTCTCAAATTATTAAATTATTACTATATTACTATTACTGCCCATCAAACGAAACTCCAGAATCCCATAATTGAATTTTAAATCAAATAATACCAAATTAATAGATTAAATACACTACTACGTAGACAAAAGTCGTGCACACTAATCACACAAAAACACAAATATCATTTTGTAACCTATGTTATTCTATATATATACATGCAAATTTACTTGTCTAACATTTTTGTTAAATTTAGCAAATTAAAAAAAAAATTTTAAAACTTTGACCCAAAAAAGATCACCAAAATTTTTACGCCAAAACTGTCTCAAGACTCACCATTTAATCGAGTGGTTCTTTGTTGTTCATGGATTTGCAGCAGGAACATGAGAAATCCATTTATTTCATGCTGCATGCAAAATCCTTCTAATAGTTTTTGTTGAAACGTTAATTGCTAGCTATTCATGAAATTAGTGTTTTTTTGGATTTTAGTGATCCTTATCGGCGGCTATTACCTATCTATTTCTTTGAAACTTTATTCAAATTTAGGTAATTTCATTTTGTCCCCACATTCGTCTTTCCGAATGTATAAATTTATTTGACATTAATTTCGAATATTCTAAATTAATATTAATTAATAATATCAAATATCAATGAACATTATTTCGACTCGTGGGATGTACAAAGTAATTTGGCATAAATGTACAAATAATTTGGGATGTACAAAATAACATAGGCTCAATAGGCTGCCCTAAATTTAATTTTCGCATGAATGATATAAAAAGAATAGGTGCCTGGGGTGAATTATTATTCGATAAATCAATAATAATTAATAATAATAATAATAATAATAATAATAATAATAATAATAATAATAATAATAATAACAACAAAAACAACAATTTAATTATAATTTAAAAAAGTAAATAGAGATAGATGGGTAGATATATATATATATGTATGTACATTTTATAAAACTTAAAAATACTAAATTTAAAAAATATTCCTGATAAATTTATCCAATATTCCTTAACCTTAAACTCTTGCAAATCTCATTACATTTGTGATTTTTCAAGAAACACCTGTTAATTCCATCTCTGCCTAAATTTGTCTTTCCAAATCTTAGGATATCAGTACAATGTATCGCTGAATCGGTTAATAAGAACCGATCAGTAAGTTCGATTCCTTGAAGATCATAAACCACTAAATACCCTCCAGTAGTTTCATATGTGAAATGGGCAAATGCCTCAAGAGTAGGACGAAATTCTACGATCACTCCACTATTCACATTGAATCGCTTAAAAGTTGCATCTTGAAGTTCCGGCTCTGAAATATAATAATGAGTCTTTGTGTCAATAGTAGCACGTATAAGTTCCACATTGAGGAAATTCACTTTTTGTCTTGCAATTGCATTAAATCTTATAGAAAGATAGGTTGCCACAGTAGAGATCTCTACAGCCTCAAGATACCTTTCAAAAGGATTTGTCCTTCCGTCTTTGAGATATTCTTTCAGCACTAGTCTTTTGTGTGGATTGCTTCTAGTATTAAGGGCAAAATATGCATACTTTTCAACTCCAGCAGAAAATGGCTGCGGTGCAATCTTGAAAGAGAAGTTTTTAGAAAAGAGATTTGATTTTCTGAAGCATCCCGGATCTTTAATTTCATCCATAGTTCTAGGAATAAAATAATATAAAACTACTCCTTTTCGAGATGGAATAGCGTCCCAATTGGGCACATCTGGGTTCATATCACGTCTTATTTGTCGCAAAGAGTATACATCCCTAGACCTACTTCCAAGGGTGCTAGTTAGTGAAACAGAAATAGTGATAGATGAAGTGGCAGCCCTGGTAAATTTATTAATTAATTCGATCGGATCTCCTCCTACAAGATCAAACACTGGAATTTCGCCAATTATGCTTTCGAATACTTGAACCATCTTATCAGTATATTCTGTAATTTTTCCAAAAAAATAAAGAATGCTTTCTGATTGCATTTTTTGTAGTACACTTTCTGCTGTTAACCCGTTTGGGTCCCCATCTGGGTGATCATCTTGCATGTCGGTAAAACGACGACCATGTGGTGGATAGTCCCCAATGTGTAAAAGAACCCGAGTACCATTACGCCAGGTCATTTGATTCAAAGCTGCGTCAAGACCTCCAAGAACATCTTCTGGTCCATCACCACCACCCGTGGCTGCTACAGTAGCTAAATTTGCTTTGAATACTTCGTGTGATTCGGTAAAATCAAAAACTTGCAAGCGATTGCTGCCGTCACAGAAATCACGATAGCCACAAAATCCAACTTGTATTTTAATGGACGGATTTGTATTTTTAATGTAGTCTGTCACCTGTAAAATGCAATCTTTGGTAGCAGCAATGTGTCCCGCCATGGAACCTGAATAAATTCATCACAAAACTAACTATAAATAACTATAATAAATTTTTTAAGTAGGATTTAATTCGCTGGTGAAACAAATAATGCACAAGATACAGACCAGTGCAGTCTAAAACATAGCAAAGATCGACTTCCAATGCGCTCTCGATGTTATTAAGTGCTTGGAATATTGCTTTTTCTCGTTTAAATCTAATTCTTTCCCTTCTCCTATCTCCAGTAGCTCCAGTCTCTGTATCAGGAGCAATGGCAGATGTGAGTGTAGGTGTAGCTGCAGACGTTGTGGTTGTTTCTGTAGATGTGGTGGTAGATATCTCATCGTCATAGCGTTGCATACGTTCTCTAGTGAGGTTTAATCTATCAAAATCGTTCAGAAACGAAGCGGGAAGAGATGAGACACTAGATCTCGTATTTGTCTCGTGTGTTAATGTTTCATGGGTAACTGTTAAATTTTCGTCATCTTCTTCATCGGGAATGAACCCATCTCTGTATTCAGTCATTATTATTATTTGGTTTTTTTTTTTTTTTTTTTTAAAAAAAAGACTACTCGAATAAAATTCACATAGTTATATATTAATTAAACATGATAAGCAAATTTGCCAAATATATTCATACCATTTACTGTTCAATCATTTGAACAAGTTCAATATCAAGTTTAACTATCATTATTTATTCTTATCCTATAAAAAACTAGCTCTAAATGAGAGAAATAGCATTCATTCCTTAAATTTTTTATTTCTTTTCGAAATTTAGGAAAAGTTACAAAACGCTCGATAAATTATGTTTGCAGTTAAAAAACAAGTATTTTTTAGATAAATGCACGTCTCATGACATCTGCATTTGGTTTAGATTATTTGGTAACTTTATAGAAAAAATATTTCTATAATTGATGAAAGTTACGATTTAGTTTATCTCGCTTCTAGTCCAATGGATAATGGCAAAAAAATTTTAAAAATCTAGTTGCAAATTTTTTTTTGTCTTTATTACAAATATAATAATAATTAAAAAGTAAGCATTGTATATAATAATTTTAATTTTTCTAAAATTTCTTTTTTTCATCTTTAACAATATTATTTCAAAATACCATTATAATTAAAAATATGTACATACATATCTACATTTATACATATGTGTGTGTATTGTGTGTGTGTGTATGCGTGTATAATCACTATTAATTGTAATATGAGTTTCAATTGTTTTATTAAGCTATCAATTTTTAATCTCTTCTTAATTTGATCTTTTTAACTTGCCATAACCTTACATCTCCGTCATTATTTTAAAAGAATCTCTGCAGTTATGTGATTGTTTCTTTCACATGATTTTTGCAATCTATATTGTGTGTGTGCAGTACAAAGTGAACAATAATTTTGGTACAAATTGCTCGAACGCCACAACTGCAACAACACATATATTAATATTATGTAAACTCGATAAATCAGTCATGCGAGGGCGGGCTCGTATGATTGACCATCAAGTAAACCGAGTTATCAAATTTCATATCAAAAAAAAAAACATAAAACTTTATAGGTCTCTCATTTCTGATACTACTGAACTATCTACCTTATATCGGAATTTTGTTGCAAATAATTAATTTTGAATGCTATCTAGAACAATTGTATTGATATTATAATACCAATATTTTTGTCCTCTTCTTTCTCTGGTGCTTCTTGTACTGAAACAATTATAAATACATAAAGTCAAAGCTTGTTACAGTAGATCTTCAATTTGTTATAAAGGTATTACAAAAAAAAAATTGTCCACTAATAACGTGATTTAGCATCTCAACAAAAACTAACCGCCAATCAAAATTCGTCATGTGAATAAAGTATCACGTGAAATAGACTGATCGGCCCAAGATTAAAAAGGGGTGGAAACTTTTGGTCAATTAGGCCAGACTTTATTATTATCGTTTGCATATTAATATGTAATGATTGATTGCTATTTCTTGTTTCGCAACTTTTAATTATTCATCAATCTAGGGGTACGCCAAACTTATTTACTTTGTTCTTCGATATGATCAATTAGATAATACTTTTACATGTTAAGGCAAGTATACTGACTGGTTTATAAAAAAAATAGGAGAATGATAAATATATTCAATTCAAGCTTTACAAGTTATTGCCCCTTTTTCAAATTATTGAAAGCTGTGAGAACCTTGTTTACCTCACCTGTCCAGCCCTCACAAGTAAGTATGATCTATGTCATTTTCATAAATGACCTGAAGTAAAAGTAAAATAAATAGTGACTGTTGATCCAAATTATTTCAATTCACATGTTTCTCTGCGGCTTTAACCAAAAAAATATTTCTATACAATTTTAAATCATAGTTTGGAATAATATTCGAATAAATTGCTTTCTTCACTTTCTCCTTCAGTCACCCACTGCGCTATAACGTTGACGTGTGCTCCTCTGGAGGTATTTAGCACCTACCGTCTTTGATAACAGCATCGGTTAATTTTTCCTATATAATTATATATAAAAAAGGGAATGTTTAAGCCTCTTTCATTTGGTTTTTTAAGAGGGATTTCTACTTTGCAATATTTCGATTTGTCTGCAAGCAATATGGCCAAAATCAAGTCTTTAATAAATGCCTTTCTTAAGATGCTCAACGGTTTGATATTGTTGATATCAACTGGAAAAGTGCGTTCAGTAACAGATACAAGATAACATATGATTATAAATTTTTCTTTTGTTCGCAAATTTCGATCAGTGAAATTTTTAACCGTTGCAAATCGTAAATTTTGCTGGTCTCCAATTTCATGCATTTAGTTATTAATCTCTCTACTCGTGACATTTGATAATTAATTGTTCGTCAACTATTTGGTTAAGAAAAATCCAAAACTCTTTAGTTTTATTATTTGGGCGATTTATTTATTTTGTTTAATTAATCTCCTATAAATTTAAGAAAAAAATTCAAATAGCAAAACCATATTCATTGTCTAATCAAACCTCTTATAGAAAAGGGCGCAAATTAAAGGTGACATAAGACCGGGAACCTAATAAATTATAGGATTTCTCAATGCAGAAATCATAGTTGTAAGCCGAAACAATTTACAAATGAGTTTAAAGATTTTGAAATTTATAACAAGGCTCTTTTCTTTCAATTTCAAAAGAGCTTTTAGCTTGTTCACAGGAGGATTTGATTGAGGTGCTGATTATTGTAACTAGCTTTTGAAAGATTATAATGAAGATGAAGTTTTCTAACTGTAAACTAGAAATGGATGATAACCAACCTGGGAAAAATAACACTCGCAGGTGAGAAAAACTGCCCTGGTTTATTCACACAATTTTTAAGACTAAAGAAAATCTCACCCCCAACAAGAAATATCCACGAGAATTAGTGAAAAGATTTGAAAAGCCAGCAGCATAATATAAGAACAATGCCTCAAAACACACACATGGAAGAAATATCTACGGCAAGTCTATTTTATTATAATTAGCAGTTACAACTTTAGCATTCAGTATTGTAGCTACTATATTTCTATAAAAAGAAAAGATAGATAATTTGTCTAATTTACCTTCCCGATCATGTAATCATAATATTTGCCCATCTTCTAAAAATTTCCACTTTTTATTAGATAATTGCTTGCTAGTATTTATTATTTTTCTTTCTTCGTAGTAAACTTCATAAGTAAATAGTCTCTTTCCTTAGTAGGTAAGCTTCAAGCATAACTTGTGCTTTTTTCAAAATATTTTGTAATGTAGTTCCTTGGTTCCATGGTAGATAGATCTTATGTAAGCTAGTATCATATTTATGTTTTTATATAAGATGATCTCCAAGAGTATAAATAATATTTCTACAAGTATATCTTTTGGTTTTCTCACTCTTGTCATGGCTATTGCTTAAACAAAGTTTGCACGAAATATTAACATACCTACCTTATTTGCGAGCGATTTTCGCTCAGGACAAGTCAAGGATAGCAAAAAATTTAGGTGGGATGTCTTTCAAAAAAATACTCTGCCACCGTAATTTGTACAGATATAAGCATCATTGCCAGTTCCTTCTGAACAACAAGAAGAAAAAAAGAATCACCTGATTAAATTTTGATGATCCAAAAATGGTTTTTTGGCTGAAGGCTTCGAAAAATTATTACATGCACATGTCTAACGACTTTCAAGGGAAATGAGTGATTTTTTGCTCTCTGAAATGAATATGTCTGATTCGAAGATTTGTACTGATGCTATGCTGATTTGAGGATAATTAGAAGATTTCAAAAGGAATTTGTATATTTAAAAATTTAAAAATTTAAAGTAAAAACAAAACTAGAGAGAAAAAACCAAACATTTAATTTATATTTTTGTTTTGGGAATATCAAAATCCGTTAAATATCATATCGGTGGTACAACCGTAGCATAGGAACCATTTTGTTCACTTTTTTGCAGCATGTATGTCCCGAATAAAATAAGATTTTAGTTAGTATTTTTGTTTTTGTTGAAAACGACGAAACATAAATTCCGGTTCTTTTTATTGTTTTCGAAATTGATAACAAAATAGTTAATTAATGATCAACACAATATTAACAGTTGATAATAATAATAATAATAATGTAAATATTTTCAACATATGAGTTACACTTAACTATTGTTTGTATGAATTTGATTGATTGATTTAGAATTGGAAATCAGAATCGATTATATAAAATTCTTTTTAATCAAATCACGTGAAAGATTTATCGCGTGACCAATAAAATCGAATCGAGTCAATTTTGGTAAATAGGCAATAATTATTATTAATCAATTAATCGATAAATGACGAATGAATGAAAAATCGCATCACAATAAACAAGCTATATAACAAGCTTAAACTATATATAACAATTTTTTATTTTTTCCAAAGATGTCTTCAATCATTTTTTTAATTTTATTTATATAAAAAGAGAAAAGCCTTTATTTTCCTCACATGCGATTATTTATTTTGGAAAAATTACAACATCTTTAATTACCAAATACGGAACCATATTGGCCAAGATCGCTATTTTTGGCACGTGACAAGGCGCGTCTTATCTATTTTTAGCAATGGATTTGAAAATATAAATTGATTTTCTGCAGTGTAAAATTTATCTTTATAAAAAAAAAAAAAAAAAAAAAATATATAAATACTTTTATATATATATTCACAAATGAAAAAATAACATTTCTATGAAGAATTATTGATGACAGACGATGGTTTAGGAAGATGTTTCTCCCTCTCCCTCTCTCCCTTCTCTAATATTATTGTTAAAAAACTCGCTCACTAACTCAAATATGCAAATGTCAGTCATTTGGATAATGATAATAGCAGTGTACATCTATCTAGCAGTATTATTATTGTTGTTGTTCTTGTTGTTATACTTTTACGTTATATACCGAATATCAGCATTTTTGCATTTTAAAACAAACAATGATATTATAATCATACATCTTCGATTCAGACAACTCATTTGACTTTTAAGAAGAAAGTCGTGTCATAATTAACTAACATTCTTGGAAAATAAAATATCGAAAACGAAACTAATCAATGGGCTTGCCGATTAAGTATAAACCGTGACTATTTATTATTACCATATTAATATTAAATCATAATAAATATATAAAATTGCATATAAAATTATAAATATAAAAAAAATTTTTTTCTTAAATTTTCTTCGCTTTTATCATAATGATAATAATAATAATCATTTAATCCAATTTTATAAATAAATTTTTATTCTGCCATTAATAATAAATAACAAGATTATTACTTGCCTAAAAAATCAAATTCCATCCAATAAACTTAACGCAATTAAAATAAATCGTCATGTCACCATTATTATATTGCTTTTTTGTCTCTCTTTTTGCGTGTGAATTCTATGTGGATTGTCTATAATATATTGTGTGTGAGAGTTGGGATTGATTGATTGAGGTGAGAGTTATTATTTTAATGTTCCCAGACCATCATTCCTAAAAACCTTTATATATACAAGTGTACAAAATAAAATCATGATCATAACACAAAAAATTGTATAATATATATGTGTTAATTTATTTTATCATTATTTTTTTAAAAAAAAAAATCAGCCCTTTTAATAAATAAAAAAAATTTTTTATAATAAATAAATACTTCCTTTAGATATATATAGTATAAATTAATTATTATTTATAAAATATAATAATATTTATAAATATTTTCATTAATTAATTATTATATTTATATATTCAAATGGACTCTAGAAATGTTACTTTAGTTTCTTCCTCAAATACTACAATCCCTACTACTGCCATAATCATCAATAACGGTAATAATAACAGCAATAATAATATAGCTACAAGAGCTAATCGCCGTCACAAGACACCTTTAAACCAACATCAACATCGCCCTACTAGAATTTCTTCTAATAATAATAATAATAATAATAATAATAACAATGATGCTGCTGCTATTGAACTTATTAATCCTCATGCACTAAATCTTCCTTTATCACCTGTCAACGACTACAGTTCATCATGTACGACTCGTGTCAATAATAATAACAACGGTTTTACACATCAACAACTCAACTCTACAATAAATAGGCCACATCAACAATTATTAATGCTAAGACAACAGCAGCAGCAGCAGCAGCAGCAGCAGCAACAACAGCAACAGCAGCAGCAGCAGCAGCAGCAACAGCAGCAGCAGCAGCAACAATCACCAATAACTTTTGTGTTTGAAAGATTTTGTCCTTCTTCAAATGCTCCTTTACCCACACCAAAGTCTAATTTTCAATTAGAAGATAATATTAGTAGTAGTAGTAGCAGCTCTAGTATCAGCAGTACCACAACACCTTCATCACCACACACTGATGATACGATGATGATTGAAACTAATAGTTATAATTATAATCATGATAACAATAATAAGAGAGATAGCAGTAAAAATAAACGTAAGCAAACCCATAGTAGCAGTGGCGGCAATAGCTTTTCCTATAGAACACCCATCGATTCACCTGTTCCTTCATCCATAAATAGAGATTATGATGATTCAGAATTTGATGATAATATGGATATTAGTAGGAGCGAAGCTTGTTCTGTATGTTTTTGTATTATTTTACTGGTTTCTTGTGATGTCGTTGTTATCGTTTATCATTAATTAACAATTAATGATCCGTTGTTTAGGACTACGATGATATTGAAGAACCATCATCTATAGAAGAATTAAAAGGATTATTGATGAAATTCACTGCAATGACACATATAAGACTTCAATCAATTTTACCTATATTGATAGATAATGATATAGATGATCCTGATATTCTTTTATTGATTGACAACGAACAATTTCTTCATGACATTCGGGGTAAAAATGGTTCAGAGATTAGTCGCGGCAATAGCTTGTTACTCTGGCATGGTATACAAGAATTACGTAAAAAAAGTAATTCTAATATTAGTTCTGCCTTCCACACACCAAGATCTTTTCTATCATCTTCTTCTTCAACCACTTCGTCATCATTATCATCATCTCCCTATTCAACTCCACCATCTTCATCTAGTTCTAGAAGTGTATTGGTCAATCATGATTTAATTGCTTCAAGGTTAATGAATCCTCAAAAAAAATCTAAAAAGCAAAAAATAAATCATCACCACCACCATCATAATGAAAAAGATGAAATTCAAAATCTAAATAATCAACGTCACCAGTACAATCATGCTAGTCACAATCATCACAATCGTAACAATCATGATCGTAATAATCATAATATTCGTAATTATAATCATAATATTCGCAATTATAGTATTGATAATAATGACGATATTCATGATTATAATGATAATAATTCAAATGTAATTATTCCTACTACTACTACTAATACTGCTAATGCTACTAATAATACTGCTAATAATACCACCGCAAACATTCCACCATCATCCGCAAATCATTCAACATACATAATTAAACAAAGAGTAAAAGCTCCTAAACTAAGTATGTCCACCATAGAGGAAGTACATACTCGAGTGAATCGTGTGTTGAGTGTAGTAACAAGCGAGAACAATCGTCGGAAACAAATTGCCCTTACACACAATCCAAATTGCAAACCAACATTGAAGTTTGAGGATTTTGTGGCTGAACTTAAACGTTCCCATCGTATTCCAGTGGCATTTGGTACATTACGTGATATGCGGTTTGCATATATGCTTAAAATCTTGAGTAAACAATGTTATGACCGGGTTTTGGCATCAAATAAAACAACTAATGTCACAGAGTTTTATCGAGCTTGTCAAGAAGCTTGCGAAGAAAATTTCACTGATGAACAATTGGAATCTGCATTGCCTTGGTTGGATCTTAAAGCAAAAATGTATTATAAGCAGCAGCAGTAGCAATATTAAACCGTAAACATAAAACAACCTATATTATATCCATAATATTCATATAAATATACCATTATTATTATCATATATATATGCTTATGTTTATATATATATATATATACAGCTTTTTTGTAAATATATATTATAACAAAACAAAAACAAAAAAACCAAAAAAAAACAATACATTTATGATTTTTATATATATATTCATCATTTTATTATTATATAAAAAATTTAAAAAAAAAGTATTATATTATTAATGATTAGTAATAGTAATTTGGTGGGGAGAATTATATATATATTATTATTTAAGTTGAGAATCTGATTAAATATATTTTTTATAGAGAAGAGAAAGGTATTAATATTAATATTATTTTATTATTATTATTATGATTTCTTTTTTATTAATTATTATTTTACTCTTAATTTAGATTATCAGGAGTCAAATACAAAAGTATTTTATTATTATAGCATATTATTTTTATATATATAAAAAAAAAAAAGAAAAATCTTTTTTGTAAAACTTTCAATTTAGCTCTTTCTCTTTCTCTATTTTACTCTTTCTAGTACTAGATAAGAATTATTTATGATTTATTCATTTTTAATTTTTTGAAAATTTTAAACACGTGCCTAAATTATTCATCATCATGTGATCAATCAATAAAAGAGTTTTTCCCAAAATAGAATTCGATTATTTCATGATTAATAATAATTAATAAATAATTTCCTTTACGCGTTTTCAAAGCATTAATAAACATGGGCATTCAGGGTCTTATTAAAGTGATAGGTGATAATTGTCCAGCTGCAATTACTTCTAACGAAATTAAAAATTATTTTGGTCGTAAAGTTGCAATTGATGCCTCAATTTCAATATATCAGTTCTTAATCGCTGTTAGACAACAAGATGGACAACAGTTAACTACAGAAGCTGGTGAAACTACAAGGTGTTATTGATCGTTATTACTGATTGGTAGATATTGAGAACTCAAAGTTTTTTTAATTAATCTGATTTTTTTTTTTTTGATTGTATAGTCATTTAATGGGATTATTTTATCGAACAATTCGAATGGTGGAAAATGGAATTAAACCTTGTTATGTATTTGACGGTAAATCACCTGTTTTAAAATCTGGACAAGTTAGTAAAGAAAAATTTAAGAAATTTTCATTCCCCCAAAAAAAGTAATTATTAAAATAAATTTGTTATAAATAAACAGCTTGCGAAAAGATTAGAGCGTAGAAAAGAAGCAAACAGAAATCTTGATGAAGCACTTGAAACTGGTCATTATCATCATCATCATCGTCGTCGTCGTTGTCGTCGTCATCATCATCATAATAATAATGAATAATTTCCACATTTATATATATATATATCCATATAGGTGAAGTTGATGATATTGATAAATTTAGTCGTCGTACTGTAAAAGTTACGCCTCAACACAATGACGAATGTAAACAATTGTTAAGGTTAATGGGAATCCCATATGTAGAGGTACTTATTTGATGAGCCATTCTTTCCAATGACATTTAAATATCTTTTAATATAATGTGTATGTAATTTTTTTTTAAAGGCGCCGTACGAAGCAGAAGCACAATGTGCAGCTCTAGCTAAAGCAGGAAAAGTAAGTAATCAAGTTCAAATCGATTTTTTTTTTATTCACATAAACAATTATAAATATAACTAAATATATAAATATATGAACCTATAAATACATTTTAAGGTTTATGCTGCAGCATCAGAAGATATGGATACATTAACATTTTCATCGCCTATTTTATTGCGACATTTAACATTTAGTGAGAATAGGAAGCTACCAATTGATGAAATTAATCTTGATAAAGTTATCGAAGGACTTGAAGTTTCAATGGATCAAGTAATTAATTTAAAAAAAGATTAAACATCCAACATCAAGCATTAAATACTAATCCATCAATTGAATTTATTATATACATATTACAAATATCGACCATATTTTACACCTACATTTTATACGTACAAAAGTTTATCGATCTTTGTATTTTGCTGGGATGTGATTATTGCGAATCGATCAAGGGAATTGGCCCTCATCGTGCCGTAGAACTTATTAAAAAGCATGGAAGTTTAGAGGAAATCATTGAAAATTTAGATCCCAAGAGATATACAATACCAGAAGACTGGCCATATAAAGAAGTACGTGAATTATTCAAAAAACCAGTTGTAAAAGATCCAAATGAGATCGAGGTAATTTGATTAATTTGATTAATCTAAATCCTTTTTTTTTTTTAAAGAAAAGATTTTATTTATTATTGTGATTGTAAATATTTAAAAGATTAAATGGGAAACTCCCGATGTTGAGGGTATTGTTGATTTTTTGGTAGATCAAAAGAATTTCAGGTAGATAGATATCAATAAAATCATATTTATTTTATATTTATATATGTTTTTTAGAAAAAAACAAAATTTCAATCGGAACGTTTCAATTAAAATTAATAGTGAAGAACGTGTTCGTAAAAGTGTGGCCAAATTGGCAAAAAATATTAAGGCTACAACACAATTAAGGATGGAGAACTATTTTACACCAAGTACTAATAAAAAATCTTCTACCAAACACAAGGTAATAAGGAAATTTTTCTGGAGAAAATGATTTTATTATATTTATAATTCCATAATTTATATTTATAATTCACTAATTATAGATTGGAGATGATAAAACTGATGATAAATCAAAGAAATCAAAAACATCTACTAATAAAAAATCAATTACTACTAAACTAAGTGGAGCTCGTGGTAGACCTAAAAAATGAGAGGCGAGTGAATAATTATTTATCAAAAAAATTAATTTATAAAAATTTAGTTTGTTATATTGTATATTATTAGTAATAAAAATAATTAGTTAATTTCATAACTCCATAGCAATTATCTTTTTTGAAGGGGTTTTATATCATTAATCTTTAAAACTTTGTAATAAATAAATATATTATTAACAACAATGATTTTATTAATGTATATGATATGACCAAAAATAATAAAAACAATTACAATTAATGATTTATTTATTTCTTACTACATTATTTTGAAACAGTTCTATCAGAGTTATTTAGTGGTACATAACCATCAAAATTTGTTTTTCCGTTTGAATAATCATACCCGTAATCTTTATCTTTATCATTATTACTATTACCACCGAACTTTTCATCAGTGTTGACAACGGGAATAGTAGCAACTGTTGAATCATTATTATTATTGCCACCATCGGTATCTTGTTTAGGTTGTACAGGTTGATCAGGCTTACTGTACAAGTAGGTTGCAATCAACACAAATGTTGAACCAACCAAAAACGTGGAAGTGACGATGAAATCAAATAGATAAACTGATGCTATGAACGACAAAATTATTGAAATCGAGGTTGCAAATCCTTTGAGAATATTGTCTGCGTATTTCACCACCATTGCTACTATTATACCACCGATTGCCTGACATGCTATAGCACCAACAACCGTCAAATTATAACCGTAGAAGAACCCTTTTTCCCACACGCCATCACCATCTTTCCACCAAACTCCAAGAATCAACGCAGGAAACAACGAAAAAAATGATAATTGTACATTACGTATCCAGACCGACGCCTTGGAACCTTTCAACACCTTTTCAAAATACACACCAGCTATACCTGAAATCACACATGCGACCGCCACCGCACTCAATCCTAAAATTCTTTCAACTATCACGTTCTCATCTTCCTTGGATGCTGAATCACTATCGTATTTAAATTGCACCAACGTAACTCCAAATGTCAATAATACCAATGAAAACCATTTCATGCCGCTTAAGGAAGTATTCAACATTATCACCGAACATAATGCTGTGGTCAAGATTTTCAGTTGATAGGTGACTTGGAAGGTTGCCGCATCCAATAAACTGACAGCAATATATTGTAAGTTGTTTTGGATGGTATATAAAATGGCTGGTATTGCCAATTTCCAAGCATCAGGTGCAAACACATCGTCATACAACACTCTGAGACTCCAGTAACCTCTCTCTTCAATTTGATTATCCAATGCCATGCAAAGACATATGATAAGCTTTGTCAGTTCTGACAAGAATACTGCTGTCGATGTGAAGTATAGTGTCGACTTGTCTTGGTCAAGTCTGGAATATCTCATCACAATGACCAACGCACTATTCTGAACGCATAGAGTTATTAAACTAACATATTTTAAAGGTAAACCAAAGATTTTTTCAGTTGTTGTTTTACTCATTTTCTCGTCCAAAAATAAAAAATAAGCAGTATAGTTTGGTTTTATCTATATATAGATGTAAAATAAAAGAATTTTGATGATCAATTATTTTTAAAAAAAAACTCTAAACTTTCGGTGCATAGAGCTACGATGAAGCCACTTTCATGAGAATGACTTTGTCAGTCGCAATATTTTACCAGAGAATTAATTAGGAAGAGGGAAAGGATATCTGATAGATAGATCATATGGAAATAAAAGTAAAGCATTATCATTAACTATGAAATAAAGACAACATTTGGAACATTAAACAGAATCTTTTTAAAAAATTGTCCTTGATTTTCTCATATAATATATCAGGCGGTGGAGGCAAGACAATGCAACGTGATATCATGTCGGAACTTTTCTCACGAGCTCATACAATCCTAAAAATAAAAATGGTGCTCCCATCTTTTGATTAGCACACTAATTGAGGCACAGAAAATTCAAAGGTTAACATACTACCTCGGTTACACAAACCCCAACCCAGAACCCCCATGATTGGTAGAAAATAAGGAAATCTTATCTTAAAAAAACCTTGTCGTGTAACCAAGGTAAGTTTTCTTTGATATGTTACACCATTCTTTATCAAATACACATCGTTTCCAAATTTAGAAATTTTTTACAATTTCCCCCGATTGATTTAGATTTTGAACATCAAGTGGTACACCTTTAAGTGCAAAATTTCTTCCATCCAATTTAACAAAGTCTACCAAGTCTAATAGAAACATTTGCCGATTTAAATGTAGAAATATTCACTAACCGTACTTATTTGAAGCATATTGTATCTGATAAATTATATAAAGATTATACATTAGATGGCAATAGGATACTCAAGGTGTTAAATCAAGCGTTACCAAAATATTTGGATACTCTTGTTTTTGCAGAAAGGATCCACTTTTTTGACGATGAGGTCGATATTGATGGTACTTTGGATCTGTTGATGAACAATTGGAAAGGACCCAAACCTCTTAAATTGAGATTGTGAGCAAGAAATTTATTGGAAAAGACAAAGCACTAGATGGGCTATTAAAAAAATATCAAGATTTGGGATTTTTCGATTATAAGGTAATAGATTTATCGTGTATAATAATCAAATTTATGAGTTTTTCCATTCCTTTTTCCATCTCATCCATCTAAAATAATATAATATATTGTAAATAATACATATTACGTATTATATTGTATTGACATTATCATCATTATAATTATTATAATAATACGAACCCGATCAACCTGTTTGGAAGGTTCAATTAAATTTCTCAGAATATTTATTTTTGATTCTGATTGTTCTTGGATTGATTCAATTTCTAAACATAATGAAACATTTTCATTGTTTATCTAATGAATGAATTGTTAATAATATGACAGACAGATAGATATATGGGGTATTTGATTAATTAAAACAATATGTGAACAAACCTTTAAAAATTCATTTTCTAAACGTCTCAATTCTTCTTGTTTCGTCGGTAAAGTTTTTGCTCTGATACTAGATTGTGGTGTCATTATCTCTCTATAACTTTAACAAGAATAAAATAATTATAAAAATGAAGAAAAATCAATAATTAATGTAAAAATTAAAAAAATGATAAATCTACTCATTGGATGGAAAAGAATTATTCGATTTTTTCGATTCATTGATCATTTCATCTAATTCATCAAGTTTCTTTAAAACCTTATGATTCTCCAAGATAGAATTGATTTCTTTCTTTAATTAAGAATATTAATATAAATAAACATCGATAACCATGTATATATATATACATACACATATATTCAAAATAAAATAAAATTAATTAAAACCTCTGAAACTTTTCTTAGGAATGTAGTGACTTGCTTATGAGCAGCCTCTAATCTTTTAGGTTTATTGTTAGCTAAAGTTGGAAAACATCCAGAGACTTTCTCGTAACTATACGATTAAGATATTAACACATAACGTTAATGCTTCTCTTGTTAAGATGAGATTTAATAATTTAAATATGCTTGCTAAAAATTTACGTGAAATTGTCAATTGTCTCTGATAAACATTTCTCTAAAATTTGTTTCAACTTTTCTGAACGTGAACTTCCAGTCATTTTAAAATTTTTAAAAATTAAAATCAGCTCAATATTATCGCGAATTGCGAATTAATATAATAATATTGTATTTCTAACGCGCGTCTTTTCCAAAATAATAACATTACAAGTCAGGATTTTTTCCAAATACTGTAATGATCGACGATGAATATACATAAACAAGATTTTTTTTTTTACAACGTTGTTAGTTTTGCAATCCATCAATACTTGCGGCCTCCGATCTTTTGTACTCTTCTAAGACTGCCCTAAAAATTTTTAATTGAGAATAATTCAAATCAAGGGTGTGTAGTTTTTCTAATCAGGGTGCAACGTACAGGAAACATACTTTCGTCAACGAACAGTCAGAGCAAATGCATTCTGAAAAGGAAATTTTTTTCTCTGCCGTAAATTTCAAAATAAGATGTTTCTTTCTTCCGCTGATCGTTCCTTCGGTGGAAGTTACGTTTTTAATAATAATAAAACAAGAACAGAACACGTTATCACGATTATTATTAGTATTATTATTATTATTATATATATATAACATTTTACCACGATTTATATCATTTTTTTACATTTAAAGTATGTGACTTTAACGTTGTCAAATGATAATCAATTGAATTTGGGTATTTTCGAATTATTACGTTTTTTAGTAGCATTAATGGTAAAAGAAGGCATAATATTAAAATCGACACCGGATTGTTACGTTTTTTTAGTGGCAGGGAAAGTATTTTCCTTACATTTTCCAAAAAAAAAAGCATTGTTATTTAAATATTAACATAACAAATAAGCATCTTCTTTACATTTTTTGATTGATTTCCTTTTTGACAATAATGAATTAATTCCGAATTGTTTAGTGGTGGGGAAAGTATTTCTGAAAAGGCTTGATTTAGTTAAAAAATGATCAATGGTCAGTTTTTTTTATTTATTTATTTTCGAAAATTTCCAAAGAGAGATAGTATTATATCAAATATTGCCAATCCTTTCTAAATTCTTACAAAGTATGTTGCACTGATTTTAAATAATTATTTTATTATTCTTAATTGTATAAAAAAAATGTTTACAGGTATTGTAGAACATATAGGAGAAATACTTGAAATTTTAGCTTTAGATAATTCAGTTAGTGGTGGAGGTGGTTGGTCAATGAAAATCGGTAAAGCTGGACCTGTTTTAGTTGATTGTAAGAATGGTGATAGTATTTCTGTCAATGGTTTGTGTGATTTTATAATCATAATTTGTGAACAATAGATTAATTGATCAATTTGGGTTTTTATTATTATTGTTAATTATTATTTTAAATTTTCTCTTATAGGGACTTGTCTGACTGTGACAGAGTTTGATATTTCAGCTTCATGGTTTAAAGTTGGACTTTCACCTGAAACTCTTAGAAGAACAAATCTTGG